TGAGAGTGATGAGGAGGAGAGGAGGAGACTGACCAGATCACTTCATCAGTCACCTGCTGTTGACATCAGACCTATATCAATCCAATCTCTTCTACAGACAGCACCAGTGTCTGAATAAGCACACAGACCATGTATATTCATGTTATTGGTGTAAAATAAACAGAATAATAGTCCTTCTCCACAACAGTCCGTGCTCTGCATGTGGGTATTTGCATTACATAAAGAAAGATACATAAAAATCAAACATGTCTTGTTGGACTTGTGTAAAGAGCGAGCGAACAGCCTCCATAAAGACGAGAACAAGACAAATGAACGAGGGGAGAGAAAGGAGAGAGGGGAGAGAGAGGGATGAGAGAGAGAGGAGAGAGAGGGGAGAGAGAAGGGAGAGAGAGGGGGGAGTGGAGAGAGAAGGGAGAGGGAGGAGGGAGTGGAGAGAGAAGGGAGAGAGGAGAGAGGGAGAGAGAAGGGAGAGAGGAGAGAGAGAGGAGAGAGAGAGGGGAGGGCGAGGGAAGAGAGAGGGGAGAGAGAACAGAAAGAAGGGAGAGAGGAGAGAGAGAGAAGGGAGAGAGAGAAGGGAGAGAGGCACAGTCATTACTTAAGCAGAGCCTGGACCCTGAGGCTGAAGTAATCAAGCATCAGCCTCTGAGACGGCTGCAAACGTGAAGGAGGAAGAGGAGGGCTGACGAATGAGCTTCTGACAGCCTGCAATCCAATGTGAGCAGGAAAGTCCTGGGATGACAGACAGTCATCCCAGGACTTTAGAGACGCTGTCTGTTCTGCAAAACTAATATTCAGGGAAAATATCACTGTATGTGTGTGTTTGTGTGTGTGTGAGTGTGTATGTGTGTATGCGTGTGTGTGAGTGTGTGTGTGTGTGTTAAAGGTGATGTCCGCAACTCCAATTGTGTTTCACTTCTATAGAAATGCATATGCGACCATAGGACCTTGTAGCAGTGTTAAAGGTATTTTTCAATTACATCACTTTTAAACAGTCTTGGGCACGGTGGCTGAGTGGATAGCACTCTCACCTCTAAGCCAGAAGGTCCTGGGTTTGAATCCCGGTTGGAACAGGACCTTTCTGAGTGGAGTTTGCATGTTCTCCCCGAGTCTGCATAGGTTTCTCTAGGTACACCGATTTCCCGTACCACTCAAAATATGCTCAATAGGTAAAATCCTCTAGCTCCGGTCCTGACCAAGCCGAGCATTAACATCTGGACAGTGTTGTGTCAGTTCACAGCTTTTCTGAACTAGTTCAAGTTCAGTTCATACATGCTCAAAGTGAACAGTTCACGTTCAAAGTTCACATTTTTAATTCTGAACTAGTTCAAAGTTCCGTTCATTTTACTTTTTTCGTGAGATACTTAAATAAATATTTTTTTGACACTACGAGCTATATATATAATATATATATATATATATATGTATGTATATATATATATATATATATATATATATATATATATGTATGTATATATCTCCTGCACACCCACAGGAGGAGAGCCTTTTGACTACAAAACAGACAAGATTTATATGGTTTTCAATGGAAGCCAAACGGAGTTGTCCCATCTCTGCTCATAAACTACAAACAGTAATGCGCTGCAGTGTGTGTGTCTATACTTTATGTCAAATGTAAACGGTGTAAACTTTGTCGCTAACTCACCCTTTGTTTTCATCACGACTCGGGCACATGTGAAAAGCACCAGCTCACAGCGCCGCACCTCAACACGGAGTCGGGGTGCGTTCACAGACGGTGGAAACCGTAGGAATTTTTAGGTTTCGGCGGAAAAAGTGCGAGAATACAGGAGGGAGGAACTTTCTCTCGTTGCGTTTCAAAAGAGAAAACAGATTCCAACGTTCATAGTGATGTCTGCCGTCCATGACACATAAAATGAACTAATTCACGTTCAAGTTCTTTTTTAAAAAAATTGTTGCGTTCAGTTCAACGTTCACGAAAAAATGAGCGTGTTCAATGAACGCGTTCTTTTGAACTCGTTCACGCACAACACTGCATCTGGAGATGGGTTCCCGGGCGCTGTTACAATGTCGACCACTGCTCCTGACATAAGCCTTAGTGGCATCGGGATGGGTCAAATGCAGAGGACAAATTTCCCCACAGGAACAATTAAGTGCATCTTTACATTTACAATTTTCTCTCCTGGCAACAACCACCATAACATTTACTGAAGAAAAATTGTTAGCGCCAATAGAAAGAGCCTCCTCTCTCTGTGGTCCCTCTCACTCTGGTCTCTCTATTTTTCTGTCTCCTCTCTCTGTCTCTCTCCCTACTCTCTCTGTCTCCTCTGTCTCCTCTCTGTCTCTCCTCTCTCTGTCTCCTCTTTCTCTCTCTCTGTCTCCTCTTTCTCTCTCTCTGTTTCCTCTCCATCTCTTCTCTCCATCTCTCTCTCCTCAGTGTTTCTCTCTCTCTCTCTTCTCTCTGTCTCTCTGTCACTGTCGTCTCCTCTCTCTCCACAAAACATCTTTCTTCGTCCTTTTCTTCAGCATGACATGCGTGAAAGTGGTGTAACACTCATCTTATGGATATTACAGCTCCCGCTCTTGGTTGTTGATGGCGTTTTTGGCAGGCGCAGGACGCAGAGTGAAAGCGTGTCTGGATTACAGCTCGTTAGAAAAGACAAGAGCCCTTAATTGCTGCGGCTTAGTCTGCGTCACAAACAGGATCATGTTCAGCTCGAGGTGCGGGTTTACACACCAAACAAAGCACGCAGACCCAAGACAGACACATACAGGGACACATCACCGAGAGGATTGGAATCTGTTCAAGCCCAAGGATGTCGAGGGAGAGCGGAGTCCTGGGTCTACAGCGGCCTCTCTGTGGAGCAGGTCTCTCTCAATGTGGACCTCCGAGGGTTCAACTCTACTCAATGTATTTTGTATTGCCCTAAATCACAACAGCAGTCGGTTTGGAGGACTCCTCTGGTCTCTCTCACTGTGGTATTTCTTTGGTCTCTCTCTGGTCTATTTCTGGTCTCTCTCTTGTCTCTCTCTGGTTTCTCTATGGTCTCTCTCCCTCTCTGGTGTCTCTCTGGTCTATTTCTGCTCTTTCTCTGGTCTCTCTTTGGTCTCTCTCCCTCTCGTCTCTGGTCTCTCTCTGGCCTCTCTCTGGTCTCTATCTGGTCTATTTTTGTTCTGTCTCTCGTCTCTCTCTCGTCTCTCTCTGATCTGTCGTTGGTCTCTCCTTGGTCTTTCTCTGGTCTCTTTCTGGTCTCTCTTTGGTCCCTCTCTGGTCTCCCTCTCTGGTCTGGTTCAGTCCAGTCTGATCCCAAGGAGGCTGCAGCTTCAGTCCAGGATCCTGCTCCATCTGTCGAGTCGGACCGGTCCAGATACTGGATCCAGAGACTCGGTCCAAATGCAAAATGAGCAGTGACTCCTTAATGAGCTAAAACACATTGGAAGAAGAAAGAGGGAAAAAGTACTGGTCTCTCTCTCCCCCGTCTCTCTCTCCCTCTCTCGCTCTCTCTCTCTCACGCTCTCTCTCTCTCTCCCTTGTGTCTCTATGGTCTCTCTCTCCCCTGTATATCTGTGGTCCTCTCTCTCCTCTGTGTCTCTGTGGTCCTCTCTATCTGGTCTCCCTCTCTCCCCTCTCTCCCTCTGGTCTCTCTCTCTCTCCCCTGTGTCTCTGGTCTCTTTCTGGTCTTTCTCTTTCCCCTGTCTCTATGTGGTCTCTCTGGTCTCTCTCTCTCTCCCCCTTGTGTGTCTCTGGTTTCCTTCCCCTGTCTCTCTTTGCTCTCCCTCTGGTCTCTCTCTCTCTCCCCTGTGTCTCTGTGGTCTCTCTCTGCTCTCTCTCTCTCCTGTGTCTCTCTGGTCTCTCTCTCTCCCCTGTGTCTCTCTGGTCTCTCTCTGGTCTCTCTCTCTCCCCTGTCTCTCTGTGGTCTCTTTCTGGTCTCTCTCTCTCCCCTGTGTCTCTCTGGTCTCTCTCTGGTCTCTCTCTCTCCCCTGTCTCTCTGTGGTCTCTTTCTGGTCTCTCTCTCTCCCCTGTGTCTCTCTGGTCTCTCTCTCTCCCCTGTCTCTCTGTGGTCTCTCTCTCAGTCCAGGATCCAGGCCCAGAGTAGAGAGAGGTGCTTGTTTGGGTCCAGAGGCTGATGTTGTGAGAGGCTCAGATCAAAAGTGGAGTATTCTGTGTGATCTGTGCCTCTGCTCTTTGTCCTGGTTAAAAAGTCCTTCAGCCTCGCTCTCTGCTGCAGCTGCTTCACAGTCAGGAAAAAACACACGATTTCACTTTGAGAAAACAGAAAATGTGAACAATATTCAGGTTTCTTCATTTCAGATTAATAAAAGCAAAGCAAAATGTTTTGATGTTAATAAACAAATCAGACCACAATAGACCTCTGTCTATTTTGTGTATATTTATGAAAGAGCCCTGTGAATCACTCTCTGGTCTCTCTTTGATCTCTCTCTCTGTTCTTTCTCTTTAGCCTCTCTCTGGTCTCTTTCTGTTCGCTCCCTTTATGGTCTCTCTGGTCTCTCTCTTGCTGACCTCTGTCTCGCTCTCTCTCTGGTCTCTCTCGGGTCTCTCCTTGGCCTCTCTCTGGTCTCTCTCTAGCCTCTCTCTGGTCACTCTCTGTTCTCTCTCTCTGGTCTCTCTCTCTCTCTCTAGTGTCTTGGAGTTTGTTAATGAGAAGCAAAAACATGTATAACAAGCTTCCATACAGCACCAGCCTCCTCTCCCATTACCCTCTGTTCTTCACCAATCAGGGCCTTTCATCAGGACAATGCAGACTGATTGTGGTGAGAGGGGAGTCGTGAGTGTGTGTGTGTGTGTGTGTGTGTGTGTGTGTGTGTGTGTGTGTGTGCGCGTGTGTGTGTGTGTACGCGCGTGTGTGCGTGTGCGTGTACGTGTACGTGTGCATGTGCGAGGGTTCCCAACATGGGGGACTGGGGGCCACAGGTGCAGACATAAGGAGATCATATCAAGTGTAATGACGGAGGAGAGCAGCCGAGATGGAGGCTGTTAGCGAGAGCTGCATCTCGAGTGTAGAGTAATGTGTTTGAGTGAAGAGGAGGACGAGGACCGGAACGAGACGAGTGCGAGACGAGCACGGAGAGAGTGACTGGAGCTGAGAGAGGGGGAGGTACAGGAGGAGAACACTTAAAGCTGGGGTGCGTGACTTTTTCCACTGAAGATGTAGTTTATCCCAACGGAAAGACTGTAATGTAAAAGTAAAATGTAAAGCAGATAAGACCACAACAGGAGAGAGACCAAAGAGTGACCAGAGAGAGATCAGAGAGAGACTAGAGAGAGAGAGACCAAAGAGTGACCAGAGAGAGATCAGAGAGAGACTAGAGAGAGAGAGATCAGAGAGAGACCAGAGAGAGATCAGAGAGAGACTAGAGAGAGAGAGATCAGAGAGAGACTAGAGAGAGAGAGAGATCAGAGAGAGACTAGAGAGAGAGAGAGATCAGAGAGAGACCAGAGAGAGACCAGAGAGAGACAAGAGAGAGGAACCAGAGAGAGAGACTAGAGAAAGAGACCAGAGAAAGAACAGACAAATAGAACAGAGAGAGACAAGAGAGAGGGACATCTTCGATGTAGATATCGAACCAACACCAACTGGATGCACTCCGTGTTATCCTGGTTAAAAGTCAAAGAAAGACTGAAAGTCACATTAATTAATTTAACAAGAAATATAATTTTAACCAAAATGCCCAATGTTCTCCATAAAGAGTTGAGTTTCAGTGCAGAAGGCCATCATTATCAAACCAGACATGCAAGTGAGGGTAAGTTCAATCTGCCCAAAGTAAAAACAAATTATGGAAAGAATACCATCACATACAGATCCATGTGTGTTTGGAACAGTCTGCCCTCCGATATCATGAACGAAAATAATAAATATCAATTGAAATTGAAAAGACTTTTCCTAAACATTGGCGCAGTGGATGCTTAAATGTTGTTATACCTAAATGTGTATTTCATGTTTTCCTTGTCATGGATATTATATTTAAATGTTACATTTAAATCTTGCTGTCCACTGTTACTGAGATTGCATTCATACTAACCAGGTCCTGTGTGTGTGTGTGTGTGTGTGTGTGTGTGTGTGTGTGTGTGTGTGTGTGTGTGTGTGTGTGTGTGTGTGTGTGCATGTGCGTGTGCGTGTGCGTGTGTGTGAAAGTGAGTGGATGTTTATGTAAGTTGAATTTTTGTTAGTATTATTTGTTTTGTTGTATTCTGTGTTCTACTTTTGTGTTTTTGATGTAATATAATTTCTGTTTCTCAAGAATAGCTGTTTTTATACAGCTAATGGAGATTGTAATAAATACAAATACAAATACTAGAGAGAGACCAGAGAGAGACCAGAGAGAAATCAGAGAGAGAGGCCAGAGAGAGAGACCAGGGAGAGACCAGAGAGAGAAAACAATGAGACCAAAGTGGATATATGCTGATTGTTCCAGGTATAACAGAGAAATTATCTCTAAACTCATGTATTTATTTACTTTTTCAAACTATAGCCTATTTGGAGTGTTGTGATGTCACATGAACAAAACCTATTAAGCAATTTTCACTATTTTAATTTAAATCTTAGCCCCTTTTACTGGATACTTCGAAGCCTCATGTAACTGTGGGAATAGCAAAACATCCAAAATTGTCGGAGCCTCCTCTCTCCAGTTGGAACCGATTTATCCATATTTTTTAGCACAATAGTTATATTCTAAAAACTTGAACAACAAAGATAATGGCGCCTGTCGTGGCTCTGTGTGGGATGTATCGTGGCGTCTCTTGTTATGAAGCGTTTGATTTAAAAATGGAACAAAGCAAAGACGTCGTGCGACTGAGGCTCGAGCAATCATGGAAATAGCAGCTGTTTCTTCTGACGAGAGAGAAGAGAGAGACCAGAGATAGAGGGACCAGAGAGAGACCAGAGAGAGACTGGAGACAGACCCGAGAGAGACCGAGAGACAAGTGAGAGAGACCAGAGAGAGAGACCAGACAGAGACCAAATAGAGGGACCAGAGAGAGACCAGATAGAGACCAGAGAGAGAGACCAGAGAGAGACTGGAGAGACCAGAGCGAGATTGGAAAGAGGGACCAGGCAGAGACCAAATAGAGGGACCAGAGAGAGACCAGAAAGAGACCAGAGAGAGAAAGACCAGAGATAGGCTGGAGATAGATCCGAGAGAGACAAGTGAGAGAGATCAGAGAGAGATTGGAAAGAGGGACCAGGCAGAGACCAAATGGAGGGACCAGAGAGAGACCAGAAAGAGACTAGAGATAGACCAGAGAGAGACCAAAGAGAAACTTGAAAGAGACGAGAGAGAGACCAAAGAGAAACCAGAGAGAGACCAGAGAGACACAAGAGAGAGACCAAAGAGACACAAGAGAGAAACCATCAAGAGACCCAAGAGAGAGACCAGAGTAAGAAGAAGGAAATCATAAAAGAGAGACATCACATGAATTCACTTTTGGAAAAACCTCATGCCGAATTGTCCTGAACATTGATATTGGCAGACGGGACTCTGATTTGGCCTGGCCTGCGTTGATTTAGCACTGTTAAGTTCGTTTTGGCGGCGTTAGCATTGGACGCCGGCCTGGTCGTCGTGGCGATGCACAGCGATCCATCATTAACCGTGTTGAAATTAGTAGGATCCGGAACGAGGCCAAAGACGACAGAGTCTGCAGCAGCGAAGGCCCAGATCCAACAGGCGCAGAGAGACAGCTGTGTGTGTGTGTGTGTGTGTGTGTGTGTGCGTGCACGCGTGTGCATGTGTATGAGAGAGGGACCAGATAAATATTTAGAGATATAGACCAGCGACCAGCGAATATAGACCAGCTACCAGCGAAAGACCAGAGATAGACATAGACCAGAAAGAGACCAGAGAGAAAGACTAGAGAGGGACCAGAGAGAGATCAGAGAGAAAGACTAGAGAGGGAGAGCATAGAGAGGGACCAGAGAGAGAGCAGAGAGGGAGAGACCAGAAAAAGAACATTGTGAGAGACCAGAGAGAGAACAGAGAAAGACCAGAGAGAGAGACCAGAGAGAGGGACCAGAGAGAGAGACAGAGAGGGAGACCAGAGAGAGAGACCATAGATATCATATTGATTCGTCATTAACCTTGTGGAAATGAGTTTGGCCAGTTGATTATCGGCTGTAAGTGCAGTAACAAGAAGTGTCCTCTAGGGGGAGACATGTGTGCTCTTGAGCTTCACCCAGACCGTGTTCCTCAGACATAAACCAGAGGAAAGACTCTTCTTGATCTTACTAGTATTCTTCTTCTCTTTTCAGGTTTGGCAACCATGTTAAATGTTAAAACCAGCTGTGTTTGTTTAGTACAACAGTCAAATGTATCTGTGTAATGGTTTGTATGAGATGACGTTGTTAGTAGACTGTGTCGCTAGCTGCTAACAACATTAGCATTAGCTTCCGCCGGTCGTGGTAAGAGTAAAGAACAGCACAAATTCCTATTTGTTTTTTTTTTATTAGCCATATAAGTATTGCCAGACTGTGTAATGCAGGTATCAGAATGTTGTTCAACAGTGTGAATATTGTTTAGGGCGTTTTACTATTTGCTAGCAACATTAGCCTGAGACTGTTGTGCAGGGATAATGTAATGTAAGGTTACAAAAGGTTGTTCAAGAGTGGAAATATATACTGTTTGTGACATTAATTCAGACATAACCAAGAATACTTTGAGGAAAGACTTGTCCTAATGTTATTATTATTTTCATCTCCTTTTCAGGGCATGTACATGTGTCACCAGAGGGCGGCGGTGGCATGCACTCCATTGTGTCTAAAAAGAAATAATGTTTGGGATTTGGTATGATTTATGTAACAAAATACAAGCAAATGGATATGTAAAGTTAAAGGTCAGACAATCCATTTTAATGTAAGAGATATTATGCATTGTTTATTGAAGAGTTCTAGCTGACAGTGTCAGTGAATTTTCCCAGTACGGGTTGGTTGCTAGGTAGTTGCCAGATGCTAAAGTGTAAAGGAAAAACAAGCAGGTTGGAAAAACAAGCAGGTAGAGTCAAGTAGAGCAGAGTAGGACCATGTAGGGCTGGTGGAAACGGTACAAATCCGGTACAGGTTAATTGAACAACAGGGAACAACGGCTGCATGTTCCCTGGAGCCTGAATGTCATGTGTTCCACGCTACATTAGCTTCTTCTCTGTGTGCAGCTTCCACCGCGGAGGAGGTACCACAGGGGGGCAGAGCGAGCCGGGACCCCCCCACAAGAGGCTCCGTCAGCAGGCACGTAGAGGTCACATCTCCCCCCTCTCTAGAGCTCCTGGACAGGCGCACAGACATCAGATCTACACCCTCTCTGGAGCGCCTGGACAGGCACACAGAGGTCACGTCCCCCCCCTCTCTGGACCTCCTGAACCGGCACACCCTCCATGGTATTAGCCCTCATCTGCGCTTGGTCCCAGACAGCACCAGTGACCGAAGCAAAGAGACGGAATCTACAACGTCTGAAGAAAAGAAGCAGAGTTGGAGCGGTGATGACGGGACCACCACCACGACCATCTCCACGACGACCACTGTTGTCACCACGATGCGGAGCCCAGGTGAGACACTGCCCCCCAATGCAAGAACTGAGTCTAGTTCCATGGTTTTGACGAGGCGCTACTTGCTGCCGGAAGTTAAGTCTGATGTGTTGTGGTTTGCCGGTAAACGGGAAGAAGTGCAGAGAGACTAGAGAGAGACCAGAGAGAAAGATTAGAGAGAGACCAGAGAGAGAGTAGAAATAGAGACCATAGAGATACTGGAGAGAGACCAGAGAGATCACATATAGAAAGAGACCAGAGATAGACCAGAGAGAGAGACCAGAGAGAGACCATGTAGAGAGCAGAGAGAGAGAGATAAAAGAGAGACCAGAGATAGAGGCCAGAAAAAGAATCATAATTTTGCTTCACTTGTCGGCCTCCTCACCCTCTCATTAGTCTCCTCTCACACTGCTCCACTCCTTCCTCTGAGACCTGAGTGTAGCTGTTCGCCTTCTGCCCTTCGCTAATATCACGTCTATTTGCTTTTCGCACAATCCTGGTGCCGAGGGCTTCAAATAAATGATAAACAACATCTCTGCATGGCTGCGCTTAATCAAGAGCTCCGACCGGTGCTCCACTGGAATCCAGTCACTTATGAAGGAGACCAGGGGCTAGCACGCTAACGAGGCTGCGGCGTGTTTACCAGAGGATCCATCCATGAAATATACAGGGACTCACAGAGGAAAACTTTAGATATTCAAATGTCAGAGATAGACCAGAGATATATCACAGAAAGACTAGAGAAAGACCAAGACCAGAAAGAGACCATAGAGTGTTCAATGAGAGACCAAAAAGAGAGAGAGACACCAGACAGAGACCAGAGAGTGCGCTATGAGAGACCAGAGAGAGAAGAAAGAGACCAGAGAGACAAGAGAGAGGGACCAGAGAAAGAGACTAGCAAAAGGCTAGAGAGAGTGAGAGACCATAGAAAGAGACAAGAGAGAGACCAAGCAGAGATCAGATAGAGACTAGAGAAAGAGACCATATAGAGCAGGGGTGTCAAACTTATTTTGGTTGAGGGCCGAATAAAAAATGAAAGGGCCGCTCAGGGGCGATAGAATAAGTGGGTTTCATTTATTATATTTTTGATAATATGAAGGTATCTTTATAAATGACTTGTTTCACATTAGTTTGATTGGATGGTCTTTTCTGATTAGAATTAGTTCAGTTACTGTGGACTGAACCAAAACAGGACCAAATATTGAAGGTACATAGAAAGATTTTCTACTTTTGGGTGGATCATCAAGACTATTGGTCCTCCCAGTTGTCAATCATTCTGGTGATTCGTGCTCGTCAAAGAAGACCAGAGTTTTGTTAAAAAAGTGGAGAGGGTGGTTTTTTCCTAAGAAAATTGGGAAATCCTCCTTCATATCTTTAAGAAGAAATGTAATTGGAGACTAGTAAAAAACATAACGTAACAATATTAACTTCTAAAAACATGTTGGCTTAACGTTTCTTATGGAATCAAATTTCATGGTTGTCTTCTTGAGAAAAATAGAAGTGGATAACATGCCCTTGTCGCCTAATACCATCAATGCTTCTATTTAATGTAATAATTTAAAATCATCTCAGGGGCCACTGGAAATGGTCTCACGGGCCGTATCTGGCCCCCGGGCCTTGACTTTGACACCTATTATATAGAGAGACCAGAGATAAACCACAGAGAGAGAAAGAGTCAAGAGAGATCAGACAGAGACAAGAAATAGAATAGAGAGAAAGAGTGAGAGACTATAGCGAGAGACCAGAGAGAGAGAGACCAAACAGAGTCACAAATCAGCACTACTGCTTTTTCCTATTTTAATTGGAATTCATGACATTAATGTTGAACTGTATCTTTGTTGATGACAAATGATAAATAAAACCATCAATCCACCTGTGTCCTCTCTGTGGCAGTGGCGTGTCAGCTGAACCTGACGGGTCCAGAGGGCTTCATCCAGGCTCCTCCTCAGTCCAGCTCCTCCTTCCTCTCCACCGCAGACTGCTCCTACGTCATCACCGTCTACATGGGCTACGGCGTGGAGGTCCAGGTAGGAAGGCTGGATTCAAGACTATTCGTAAATCTCTCTGGTCTGTCTCTGGTCTCTCTCTCTCTGGTCTTGCTCTGGCCTCTCTCTGGTCTCTCTCTAGTCTTTCTCTAGTCTAGTCTCTCTCTGGTCTCGCCCTAGTCTCTCTCTGGTCTCTCTCTGGTCTCTGCCCAGTCTCTTGTCTCTCTTTGGTCTCTCTCTAGTCTCTCTGGTCTCTGTCCAGTCTCTTGTCTCTCTCTGGTCTCTCTCTAGTCCAGTCTCTCTGGTCTCTCCCTAGTCTCTCTCTGGTCTCTGTCCAGTCTCTTGTCTCTCTCTGGTCTCTCTCTGGTCTCTGTCTAGTCTCTTGTCTCTCTCTGGTCTCTCTCTAGTCCAGTCTCTCTGGTCTCTCCCTAGTCTCTCTCTGGTCTCTGTCTAGTCTCTTGTCTCTCTCTGGTCTCTCTCTAGTCTCTCTTTGGCCTCACTTTATAGCTTTGTTCAAACTGTATGCGTAACTTTCATGTCTATGAAGATGATCAGATTCAACACAAAATGTTCTGTGTGGAGGGGGCTTTGGGCTGTATTTTGTGGCTGAGGGGTTTGCACTATGGGTGCGATACTTTCTCCCGCGATTCGATTATCGATATGCATTTGCCAAGTATCGATATCAATTTTGAAAAAAAAAAAAAAAAAAAAAATTGTTTTTTTATTTTTATTTTTTTGAATTGGCATCAATACTTAATATATGGCTACATTACGCATCTCCATTCTATTAACCATGAAATCAAGAGTATATTTTCTTTTATTTATGCCATAAATTGGCATATTGTATATTTCTGACCAATATATCAATAATCGTCATATTGTGATAAAATCATTATCGTAATATCGTTATTGTGATATTATCGTTATTGTGAGCTTTGTATCGTGTATCGTATCGTATCGTGAGGTACCCTTAGGTTCCCACCCCTAGTTAGCACTCTCGTTTCTCACCAAGAAGCTCCTGGGTTCAATTCTACCAACAGACAGGGCTTTTGCTTGTTCTCCCCGTGTCTGGATAGGTTACCTTCAGGTGCTCCGGTTTCCCCTACCACAAAAAACATCTACACTAGTTTTTCTTTCTCTGGGTCACTTCTGCTAATGTTTGGGACGTCCATAGTGCGAGCATGAGCCAATGAGCGCAGGCCGTTGATCTGAATGGGCAGACATCTTGAAGATCTTGGTCTTAACCTGAATCAAGGAAATGGGTGGAGTCTGTTGTGCTCCTTCTTGGTTGAAATGAAAGCCTGAAGCTCCACCTGCCCTTTCTGGAACCAGTTTGACATCCATTCTATAGTTGGAGTTTTGCCTTTTGTTGTGAATGAGTGCCAAGTCTGACTTGTGATAAAAAGCTAAATAACATTCTATTGTCATGTTGAATCCAGTGATTCTGTGTAAAAATCTCAATAGACTTGTTTTAATTCTATAAATGATTGACTTTGTTTGTGGGCTGCTGTCTCTGACCTTTTCGGCAGTAGGATTTCTCTGTGATTTAAGCCTGGCCCAGAGTCGCCCTTGTCTGCACCTGCACCCTCCATCACAAGATTAACTCCTGCAGCTCATAAAATATACAGCGGCCATTACGGCTCCGACCTTCCCGGAGCATTCTGGGTAAAAACAAGCCTAAATCATTGTGTTGATGGGCTCTGGCCGCTTCATGTCCGAGCAGAGGGCGCAGGAGAGGAGATAACAGCATCAGGAAGACTCAGAAAATATGTGTCACAGATTACTTTAGGAAAAACATTTGTATTTTAACTTAGAGACTTAGAGCTGAAGTACTAGTATTTTGAAATCATGAAAGTTGTTCAAAACAACTTAACTATAGTTTTTAGCCACAGTCCTGGGTCTACAGCCTCAGTCCTGGGTCTACAGCCTCAGTCCTGGGTCTACAGCCTCAGTCCTGGGTCTACAGCCTCAGTCCTGGATCTACAGCCTCAGTCCTGGATCTACGCAACCTTAAGGCCTGTGTACACTCGCGCAGCGCTGCTTACGGTTGCGGTTACGTTGGACCTACGTAACCACAGTTTGTGGTACACTTGCGCGTTCCCCGAATGTTGTAATCCAACAACCAACCACGTGATGCCGAACTCACAGGAGTTGCCGAACCAAAGCGGTCCCATTTGTGCTGCTACTTTCTCCTCTTCAGAACAAAAACAAACGCGAAGCTGTTTGAGATATGATAGTTCTAAACTCATCGTTTCAACTCATTTAACTGTGATGTTGTGAACAAAGACACAGTTCTTGTTGGAAAAATAGTTATTATTAAAATGTATGCAGCACAAACAGCAAAACAATAAGTGGTAAATATCTGAGACAAATATGAACTATTTATAAGTGCAGGAGGAACGCAACAGACGCGATAAGCTACGAGTGCAGATTCAGACAAAGACAGGAACAGTGCAAAACAAACGACTGCACAGTTTATAAGTTATATATATGTTAGATATGCAACAGAACTCTAGTCCACAGTCTCCTGTATATCAGGTTCTGCCATGAGCCCAAACTTTTTCCTTCGGTTCCTTCGAAGCGTGAAGCTCTCTGCTCCATAGTGCCTCGTCCATGTTCCTGCTGCAGCCGCTCCGTGCTTCCTTCCAATACACACACACGGACCAATCACAGCCGCGCTTCCTTGCGGCGACCCTTACGTAGTTAGACATTTTTGAGGGTGCGCGGTAGGCAATGTAAGGGCCTTGCGGTGATCCACGCGTTGCGCAAGTGACGTCACGTCACCACCGTAAGGTCCGCGCCGTGCGACTATACACTAGGCTTTAGTCCTGGATATACAGCCTCGGTCCTAGTTCTACAGCCTCAGTCATGGATTTGTGACTTTTCCCATTAGTTTTTTTGAGTGGATCCTGAGTGGATATTTAAGGAGATTTCCTAACATTTATGGACAGTGGTCATCCCGCTCCACATGGACAAATTGCACTATCTGTTTGTGCAATTGCAAATCATGCATTTTCTGTGCATCATTTTTTTTACTTGTCTTCTCTGATCTGTTGTTGAGGAATCGGCAACCCTCCTCCGAGATGGCTGCTGTTTGGATTTAGGCCTGTACATAAATTAGTTTTATTAAATTTTATTTGAATAACATCACAGAGAGCACTAGACAATGAGTATTTTCACCCAAAATGGTGAGTGTGGCACAAATAGTAACTGAGCAAGAGAAGTTTACTTTTACATGTAAGGAGGAGCCAGAGTGAGATGGAGCCATACTTTGTCCATGAGCACTTCCCTATTGGACTAGCGGGTTAACATTGTCCATCTGTATACAGTCTATGGTCCAAACAGCTGTTAAACTACACACACCGCTCCATGTCCCTCTGCATCTGGTCTCTCTCTGGTCTTTCTCCGGTCTCTCTCTCTGGTCTCTCTCTGGCCTCTCTCTCTGGCCTCTCTCTCTGATTTCTCTCTCTCTCTGATCGCTGTCTCTTGTCTCCCTCCGGTCTTTGCATCAGCTGGTTCCCGACGTAGCGCTGTGTGAATTAGAGCGGAGCCGCTGATAAGTCGTAAGTGGAGTGTTTTAAAGTGCTCCGTAAACAAAGAGAGGAGCCGACAGATAATCCATGTGTGATAAATGAAACTCCCACGGTTACTTTCATAATCAGACCGGAACTGCTCTGGTTTCCCTGGCTCCTCCGTCCGGGCTTCACCGCTTCATCTTAATGGCCTCTCCTCTCTCTCTATTAAGTTAGACGTTTAATTAATGGCCAGGATAAAACGTTTGTTTCCACTGACTAGGCTGGTTTAGTTCAGTCTTGAAAGAAGCAGTCAGTCCTAGCACACTCAGCCGATTTAAAGTCACTGGTATATCTACAATTGTTAACATCATGGAGTGTACATAAGTGGACTAAGGATTACACAGGAGTTGAAATCAATATATTTGTGTATCGCACTAAATCACAACAGCAGTCGTCTCAGAGGACTTCACAAGGTTGTCGATTCACAGATCAGAGAATCAAACCACTCCAACACAGGAAAAGCAAAAGTTACAAACACATAGGAGCCATAGAGACTGTGATCCAGAACTGAGGCTGTAGATCCAGGACTGAGGCTGTAGATCCAGGACTGAGGCTGTAGATCCAGGACTGAGGCTGTAGATCCAGGACTCAGGCTGTGCAGTACAGGCAGTTCATTGTTAGTTTAGATGTCTTAATTCACGGGGGAAACTCTTGCATTAGCAACTGTCTTCGCTTCATGTTTACCCATATAAGGAAATTAGCTCCAGCTAGTTTATGTTCAAATTGGTTTCTCCCACATTACGGCTAACACTGTAGTCAGACCTCTCCTAATATACAGACTATGGCCCAGGACAAAATACAGTCTGTGGTCTCAAAAACCCTCTGGTCTGTGGTCTCAAACCCCCTCTGGTCTGTGGTCTCAAACCCCCTCTGGTCTGTGGTCTCTCGCCCCCTCTGGTCTGTGGTCTCTCGCCCCCTCTGGTCTGTGGTCTCAAACCCCCTCTGGTCTATGGTCTCTCTCCCCCTCTGGTCTGTGGTCTCAAACCCCCTCTGGTCTGTGATCTCAAACCCCCTCTGGTCTGTGGTGTCAAATCCCCTCTGGTCTGTGGTCTCAAACCCCCTCTGGTCTGTGGTCTCAAACCCCCTCTGGTCTGTGGTCTCTCGCCCCCTCTGGTCTGTGGTCTCTCGCCCCCTCTGGTCTGTGGTCTCAAACCCCCTCTGGTCTAGAGCCCTGCACTTGAGCCCTTGGCCCGAGGGCCCCGACGGCCCGACAGCCCGAGGGCCAGGCTTCGGGCCGATGACCGCATAATGACCTCGGACACGGGCCGGGCTCGGGCTCTTCATTTTCAGAGCGGCAGAATAGATTTACGAGCGCACCCACTGAATATAGCGTTCTATCACGCAGTAGTGTTTGTTGTTCTGTGTAGTGTTGTCATTGACGGCACATAGCATTAAGTATGTAATGTGCAGATGTGTTGCAGCATCGGGGGCATCATACAGATGCGGCCGTTCACTCTGCACCACTCCGCACACACAGAACTCATTGCAACACATCACTACCATGTATAACTCCGCCCTCTAGCTAAGTCTGCGTTCATATCAGTGCGCGGCACTATATACTACGCTAAAACATTGTTATGGGAGGTTACAAAAAAAAAAAAGGCGGGCTTGATGCGGGTTTCGGGCCTGAAAATTCAGAAACCATATCGGGCCGGGCCGGGCTGGGGCGCCACCCCCTCGGGCCAGGGCCGGGCTCGGGCCCAGATAATAGGCCCGTGCAGGGCTCTACTCTGGTCTATGGTCTCTCTCCCCCTCTGGTCTGTGGTCTCAAACCCCCTCTGGTCTGTGATCTCAAACCCCCTCTGGTCTGTGGTCTCAAACCCCCTCTGGTCTGTGATCTCAAACCGGCTCTGGTCTGTGGTGTCAAATCCCCTCTGGTCTGTGATCTCAAACCCCCTCTGGTCCGTGGTCTCAAACCCCCTCTGGTCTGTGGTGTCAAATCCCCTCTGGTCTGTGATCTCAATCCCCCTCTGGTCTGTGGTGTCAAATCCCCTCTGGTCTGTGGTCTCAAACCAGCTCTGGTCTGTGTGTCTGTAGCAGTTCTTATCAGTCTCATTATTTAACCCTGCTCCTGTGAACCAGAGATCAGCCTCATTTATCTCTGAGCTCTGGGCACTATCGGACTCTCACCAGCGTTAATGTGATTGACTTTTCTACAAGATAAGACCTGATTTACCTCGATGGAGCAGAGAGGGTCGGACAGACCGGCTTTTGTCAGAGTCCTGACCCCTGCGCACACTCCACAGTTATCAATACATTTAATAAAAGTTTAAAGAAGAGACACATTATGAAGAAATGTTAAGCTTTCATTTGGGCTATTTCTTCATTAGAAAAGTTTCAATCTGAAGAGACCAAAGACACGATAAATACATTAAAATGATTTATTTGTTTGGCGCATTGACCCCGGCAGTGACACTTGCAGCTATGAGATCGATTGCAGCTGAGATGATCTCAGATCCCCCGGGGTCAATCACTGGTGGTGGCTAGAGTATGGTGTGAATGGGGCGTAGGCGGAGCAGGAGCCGGAGTGGGAGCCTAGAGCGGGAGCCAGAGCGGGAGCCAGAGCGGGAGCCAAGAGCCAGAGGGGGTGCTGGGGAGGTGGTGGGTGTTTAAGAGCCTCAGGAAGCGTTGTTTGTCAGGAAGTGGTTGCCTTTTAAACTGCCCGCTTTGCTCTGAGAGGGTTGGCAGGAGGCTGGCCTGGCTGTGTGATTGGCTGAGGCTCGAGGCTGGCAGAGCTGTGTGATTGGCTGAGGCTCGAGGCTGGCAGGCACTCGGTCTTTCAGTCTGAACATCCGCTTGAGCTTCATTTCAATCTGAAGAGACCAAAGACACGATAAATACATTAAAATGATTTATTTGTTTGGCGCATTGACCCCGGCAGTGACACTTGCAGCTATGAGATCGATTGCAGCTGAGATGATCTCAGATCCCCCAAAAGAGGAAGCCACGCTATGTGTGCCGGGGAATGCGCAGGCCTCCCGTGGGAAGCTGCCTATCTGGAGGCGTGGGAGCCTTGCGTGGAGGCAGCATTGCATCGGGGCAGCATTGCATAGAGGCAGCATTGCATAGAGGCAGCATTGCATAGAGGCAGCATTGCATAGAGGCAGCATTGCATAGAGGCAGCATTGCATAGAGGCAGCATTGCATAGAGGCAGCATTGCATAGAGGCAGCATTGCATAGAGGCAGCATTGCATAGAGGCAGCATTGCATAGAGGCAGCATTGCATAGAGGCAGCATTGCATAGAGGCAGCATTGCATAGAGGCAGCATTGCATAGAGGCAGCATTGCATAGAGGCTGCATTGCATAGAGGCTGCATTGCATAGAGGCTGCATTGCATAGAGGCAGCATTGCATAGATTGCATAGAGGCAGCATTGCATAGATTGCATAGAGGCAGCATTGCATGGAGGCAGCATTGCATAGAGGCAGCATTGCATGGAGGCAGCATTGCATAGATTGCATAGAGGCAGCATTGCATAGAGGCTGCATTGCATAGAGGCAGCATTGCATAGATTGCATAGAGGCAGCATTGCATAGATTGCATAGAGGCAGCATTGCGTGGAGGCAGCATTGCATAGATTGCATAGAGGCTGCATTGCATAGAGGCAGCATTGCATAGAGGCAGCATTGCATAGAGGCAGCATTGCATGGAGGCAGCATTGCATAGATTGCATAGAGGCAGCATTGCATAGAGGCAGCATTGCATAGAGGCAGCATTGCATAGAGGCAGCATTGCATAGAGGCAGCATTGCATAGAGGCAGCATTGCATAGAGGCAGCATTGCATAGATTGCATAGAGGCAGCATTGCATAGAGGCTGCATTGCATAGAGGCTAGGGATGTAAATCGGCGACCGTTTAACCGGTGGTTGACCGTCACAGCGTTAACCGGTCAAAGCTGTCGGTTAAAAAAGAGAAAAGGGGGAGAGGGGAGGTCTCTTCATAATGCTATTTTAAGCCCTATTTGCACGATGTGACGAGCGGGTCCCTATCTAGCTGTGTGCGCCAATGTAACAGTAAACTCTGGGCCGACTCTCACGCCGTACGCGCCACATATGCACGCACACATGTACACGCACACACACACACACATCCCCCCCCCTCCCCCCCCCCCCCCTCCCCCTCCCCCTCCATTGACACGTAACATCCACACGCATCATCTCTCCCCTGTGTTACCGCCTGCTAGTTGCACACTGGTGCGGGTCAGAACTACATTGGAGCTTATATTTACACACACATACATACATGTATTGCACACACACACACATACATATACACACACACAGACATATACACACATACATACATGTATTGTACACACACACATACCGGTCTGTCGCGCTCCTCTGTCACGGAGCCCAAAGCATTCTTGCAAATACACGGCTCCAGTCAAACCACATGGACCATGTTTGTGCTGCTGGTCCTTGGCATCAGCTCCACACTGATCACTTTTAAACTTTAGCGGAGACCTGCGAGACGCGGCTCGTCACTCGCTGCTCTGACCATGTGGACGAGCTGTCTTTTGCTTAAAAATGCTTTAAGCCGCAGCACAGAATAATGGGAAGATTAAAACAGCAGTTCTCTGTGCGCAAAGGTGCCCAAGCTGTTGCGGGTTTTGGCGCCGCTGTCTCCGCTCTGATCCAGTAGAACGCTCAGCTGCACATATGAAAAGTACGCAGCTCTCGAAATGGCTGTTATTTCAAAGAACGTGGACTATTTTAAACTACGCGGTTAACCGGTTTCAACCGGTTAATGAGGCTCGGTGGTCGGTCATGAAAATTCATAGTTTTTTACATCCTACCAGGAAAACACTTTTTAGAAAAAAATTGCAGACAATTGTCTGCAATCTGGTTTATTAAATGTGTACAGCAAGGTTGGATGCGTTTTAGGGGATTCTGGGGTTGGAAATGTAATGAAAACAGACATGTCATTCACTTTTCCTTTCTTTTTGTAGTCACACTACCTAGTCTGGCAATTTTATGGATGGGATTCAGTTTCATGCCTTATCTTGGGGACCTCTTATCACATTCAAGTTAAAAGATATGTTTTGAATTCTTAATCATGTTCTATCATTCTGGATTTTAGGAGTGAAAGCCTTTCTGGACCACAATTACTATGAAGGCACAGTATCATTTTTACCCGCTGAAGACGAAATGAGTAACCCGAGAGACAAACTGCAGTGCCAGTCTGGGTAAGCACCGCATAGGTTGTTGTGCCTTTCACAAACCAGAGTTCCAAAATGCTTTACAATTGTTGTGAGCATTTGACCTCTCAATCCACACAGTAATGGGGCAAGGATCGAACCCAGGATCTTCTTGCTGTGAAGCAGAAGTGGTGTCCACTGCGCCACGTGCCACCCATTTAAGGCCAACATTACAATGTGTGCCAGTACAGACAGTGCTGTGCTTCAGTCAGGGAACGCCTTTATTTCCCCTTGCCCTACATTTGTATTAGGCCTATGGTGTGGAGTGACAGAATAATGCTGTAAAGTGTCTTTTGGGCGACAACAACAGCGGGTTCTTCAGAGCATTACAGTCTTGAGGGGCAACCTCTGCTGATCAGGTGCATTTGAGTAGTCAACACGAGGGGTTGGAAGTCTGCTGGTCCCAGGCCCCTTAGACGCTTTGCAGACAGATACAGTTGGAGAGTTTTGGAAAAGTATGCAGAGGCCTCATGTTGCTCCACCAGGTGCTGAAGCCTCCGCAAGACGCTGGTCACAGCCGTGTGGGTCCGCCCTTCTCTTCTCTACCTGAGTGTAGAGTTGAAATATGAGCCCACAAAGGCTGCTGCACCGTCAGTATAAGTAAGCTTTTAGTTAACATTTACACCAAACTTGTTTCTAAATTAACTCCACTCTTTGTCCAGCACAAAGACAGTACAAGAGTGCAAAGAAATAATAGCCCCCAGGAGAAAAGATTTGCCCACCCCTGCTCTAACCACTGAGCTTTCCACTAGGGATGTAAATCGGTGACCGTTTAACCGGTGGTTGACCGTCACAGCGTTAACCGGTCAAAGCTGTCGGTCAAAAAAGAGAAAAGGGGGAGAGGGGAGGTCTCTTCATAACGCTATTTTAAGCCCTATTTGCACGATGTGACGAGCGGGTCCCTATCTAGCTGTGTGCGCCAATGTAACAGTAAACTCTGGGCCGACTCTCACGCCGTACGCGCCACATATGCACGCACACATGTACACGCACACACACACACATCCCCCCTCCATTGACACGTAACATCCACACGCATCATCTCTCCCCTGTGTTACCGTCTGCTAGTTGCACACTGGTGCGGGTCAGAACTACATTGGAGCTTATATTTACACACACATACATACATGTATTGCACACACACACATAGCTTACATATACACACACACAGACATATACACACATACATACATGTATTGTACACACACACATACCGGTCTGTCGCGCTCCTCTGTGTCACGGAGCCCAAAGCATTCTTGCAAATACACGGCTCCAGTCAAACCACATGGACCATGTTTGTGCTGCTGGTCCTTGGCATCAGCTCCACACTGATCACTTTTAAACTTTAGCGGAGACCTGCGAGACGCGGCTCGTCACTCGCTGCCCTGACCATGTGGACGAGCTGTCTTTTGCTTAAAAATGTTTTAAGCCGCAGCACAGAAGAATGGGAAGATTAAAACAGCAGTTCTCTGTGCGCAAAGGTGCCGAAGCTGTTGTGGGTTTTGGCGCCGCTGTCTCCGCTCTGATCCATTAGAATGCTCAGCTGCACATATGAAAAGTACGCAGCTCAAAATGGCTGTTATTTCAAAGAACGTGGACTATTTTAAACTACGCGGTTAACCGGTTTCAACCGGTTAATGAGGCTCGGTGGTCGGTCATGAAAATTCATAGTTTTTTACATCCCTACTTTCCACCCACTCTGTAGTCGTCAACACAACTGTTGATTACGAATGTCAAACCGACGCTAAAGAAGAAGAAAATATAGCTGCATTTGTTCTGCGAGTATCTAAAATAACTGATTTTAGAAATGCAGTACATTTGTTGATGTAACAGTAACAGTAATTGATAATAGTTTGTTTTTTTCTTTGCCTGTTCTGCAGATGCCATGTCTGTCAGCACATGTCAGGAATGGCAAAGAAAAGGTCAAAAGGTAAAATTACAATTTTTATACTTATTCTCAGACTTTGTGTTCTTCTATATTCATTAATGAGCTTCTACTTGTGAAGAAACTCTGAAAATCAAACCAGAACTTTTCATGAACGTTTTTACCTCTTCATTGCATTTTTCCTACACCTTGCTTTGTCCTACTTTTCCGAGATGCAATATTTGATTAGATGCTTATTGAGTTATTGATGAAAATACATAATGATGTTGAATAAAAGTCATTGTTTATGTAATTGGAATCGTTTAATTACCGGCTTTGCAAAACAAATGCATTGGCTTCATTATAGTCAGTGTGTTTTTCCAAAAGTTTCATTCATTGTATTGAAGTGTTTTTATTATTTAAAATAACAATGGTTTACTCTCTCTCTCACTCTCACTCAGATTTACATTGAAGGTAAAGACAGACTATATGGTGAAACTTAGAAAAGGAGATTATTGTTTAATATTGTCTATTTAAATCAATATACATTTGATTCAACTAACAATGTGAAGCCAGAGGGCTGTAGGACAGACTACAGACTAAGTAAGATAAATCCAGTCTTTATGTGTTATAAACCATAATCAAACTGATATGTCTCTGTATATACTATATATTGGTTTCACATTTTAAGTTGAATTACAGAAATAAATGAACGTTTGAATGATTATCTGATATTTACCAGGGCATGCCTTGATAATCTTTAATGTTATAATATCTGAGAAGCGTATTGTCCCTGTTAATATATCCATGGTCATTGCTAAATTATAATCTACAGTACATCATGCAACTTTGCTACCTGAGGCCTTGAGATGGACCTGGAAAACATAGTGTGTGAAAACTCTTTTGCTCGGTAGGGCAGATGAGATTTGATAGTATATTATGTTGTATTGTTCGTATTCCCTTGCTGTTTAAGTAATGTATACTGTGATTCAAGACTCATGTTTATTCATTTTAGAAATCCCACAACATAAGTTTAAATTTGAATGTCTTTGATATTCAAATTGGTATGATGCGGGGAGACAGCGGGACAGCCTTGGTCTTCTGACCTAAACTTTGTGAGTTCGATCTCCCGCACACTTACACCTGTCATCTATCTCATTGATGTCTACTGTCGTTGTGGGCAGGACACTCAGACCCACTCTGGTTGGGCTGGTGCATTGAGAATCAATTGGCACATCTGAGACATGTTAGTGCCAAACCAACCCAGACTCTGAGGGATTGGCCTCCTACTGGTGCCAAGGGTCAGGACTAAACATGATCAAAACTGTCTTCCTGAAAATGTGAGACAAGCCTCTACTATGACAATCATCATTGCACATTTTATCTTCACTCCTTTTAAGTAATGTACTGTGATTATTTGTGTGATTGGCTTTATTAGGCTCTTTGAGTTGCCTTGTGTATGAACTGTGCTATACAAATAAACTTGCCTTGCCTTTCCTAAAGAGGCTAAAAATAAATTATATGATGTGTAAGTTTGGTGCATAGTTGTACAATGGTGTGTGTGACAACGGTTGCTTTTGGTTGTTGTCTTGCGAGGGTTGCTTCATTCACATCATTCGCCTTGCGATTTCTGTTTGTTTTCATGCTTTCCCCTGTTCTCTTTGAAGGGTAAACTCACCCAACTGCTGAGTCAATGAGTCCTGACACACAAATGGCCTCCCTCTCAGAGAAAACGGTCATTTAGAGACATGTGCTAATGCATCCTGGCTTCATACAGCTGCCTTTGTTTTGTTCTCTCCCCTCAAATGTTACTTTAATCACTATTTCACATTTGTAAAGCCACATTTGCCTGAAGCCTCAGTGGGCTTGTTATCACTGCTGATCACCTCTGTAAGTTTGTTTTGCCAAATGGAGGGTAAAGGTAATGCACTTTTTTTTTTTTATACTAATTTTCCCTAGGAGACAGAGTAAAGCTAATTTGGATGTGATTTTGTAGCACACTCGGTTGGTTATAGAAGCACTGACAGTTGGGAGGTCCCGTGGGTGAAAAGAGGCGTCTGATTGGCTCATAAAGAGCGAGGGTTCTCCAAGGAGCAGTGGTGGAGCTTTGTGAAGTGCGACCATCACGTCTGCTGTGGTGGAAATCTGCAAAGCGCATCTAATCAGGAAAAAAAAAACAAGCTTAATCCAATCATGCTTTTATCTCTATGACTTCTTTTAATATTGTGAAATATTAGCAAAAATTTAATTGCTTTGCCTATGAACACAATATAAAAGTAAATGCAATACAAACGTTTTCGTCCACTGCATCTACTTTGAAAAAGTTTTGATGTCCTTCTGTTCCTGAGTGGAAAAGTTGCATTGACATTTGCGAAAACATCTGGATCTTAATGAACTTTCATTAGTGCCATAGGGCTATGTGGTATAGACTGTAAGTCGCAACCCACTGCCAATTCACAAACTGATGCATAATGACCTGTCATCAAAAGTTAGCCACCTGTAACTCAAAATGCTACCACCAGTGGAGAGGAGTTGAAAATTACTGCCTACCAATAGATAGATTAAAAAAAAAGTTCATTGTTCCTTGAGAATTATATCCAAAAACTAATCAAGAAGCATACCTCGAATGTATACAATCTGCAGACAAATATTACAGAAGTGAGACAGGAAGATTTTAAAGAATAGTGCGAAAGATTTCCCTCGTGTGTTGGCATTTTTCTGGCCATTACCAATTATATCAATCTATTTACTTATAGAATATGAAATCAAAACTTATGTAGAAAATATCTGGTGAAACAAGTGGTGAAGGGTATAACCAATGCTAGCCACCTGTAACTCCATATGCCACCACCAGAGGGAGGAGTTGAAATTTCTGTCTGAAAAAGATACGTAAAAAAACGAATCTATAAGGCAACACTATCAAAGAACTAGAC